TGACTAACTGAAGCACTGTCAGTCCAGCACAGTGTAAGTAGCTGATGAATTTTATTGCTACAAGAATGCAATGTAAAGGAATAAACAATATCTGTAGTTTGGAGGTCAAAAAAAGTCCTTTAAACAGAGTTACTGGTTATCAGTAAAAAGCTTGGTGGGTGGTGAATTCACTCTTTACTTATGACTAAAAACACAGCCAGACCAAACATCAGAACTCTGTCATGTCACAAAATATGTCCACTGCCTTGACGAAAATGACATACCCTCCATTACAAAGACTGCTAAATGCACATTTTAACATTTACTGTGCTAGCTGTGCTTTGTGATAGCTGTGCTTTGCCACAGTGGCACATACAGAATGTACATTAAGTATCCTGGAGGACTATTATTATAATTACACATTTCCTATAATGTAATTCTCTTTCAAAAGATAATTATTAAAAGTATTAACTAAGTCACTAAAGCTTACTAGTGCGCGCATGTACATGCTTTTTGATAGCATTCAGAAGGGACATATGTTTGTTTATCTTTTTGAAAATAGAGTTTAAGAACTTACATCATACAAATTTTCCCCACAGATGAGTCTGCTGTCTTGCTGGTCCATACTGAGTATGGCAAAGACAAAGTTGGAAGCTCATTCTTACACCGACAGGTGGTAGAAACAATCAGGGAGCGTGAACCAGACACACCTGTGTTCAGTACTGTCTTACAAGCAACTGAAAAGGACAAACAAGATGCACAGGAAGATGGAGTGGAGCTGATACTGCCTAAACTTCAGCCAGGTGACACAAGGACTGATCCAACATTAGACTGGCTGACATTTGATCATCGTTCCAAATACCCACATCTTCCTACAAAGGTAAGGAGCATTGTGGGACATGCTGATGTCACTAGTAGGGCTGCACTAAACATAAAAGATGGCCGTTGCCCAGAAGCAAAAGTCGTTCTTATTTATAATGACACATCAAAAGATATTCAGGGGAATGAGAAGGTTGCTTCTGTAAATAACTCTGCCCTTCAAAACGCACAAGAAGCTGATGTGGTCTTCTCTGTTGGAAACAAGGTATTTGATCACTTTGAGAACCAGTTCAGAGCTACTGACAAGAAGCCAAAGCATTTTGAGTTTCTACCAAGACCATCCAAGAGGTTTGAGCACACAAAAGCAAGCTACAAAGACACAAAGACAATGACAGTTCTGTCTATTGGTAGAGTGAAGAGTGTTGACAATCTGAAGGGACATCATCTTGTTGTTAAAGCCTTGGACATTGCAGCTGTAAAACAAAATATGGAGTGTGGTATTAGAGGCATCAATGAAGAAGACTTCCAAGCAAGTGATAAGGACATTCTTCAGACACACTTCAAGACAACACATTTGAAGCCAACCCTTCTTCCCTATGGAACACTGACAGACCTTCACAATGACATGTTGAAGGCCCACCTTGTGTTGATACCTTCCGAAGAAGAACCACTTGAACTTGCAGGACTGGATGCAATAGCTGCAGGAATTCCTGTCCTTGTTTCTGACAAATCAGGACTTGCAGACTTCATGATGAAGATATCACCAGAGTTTCGTTATTCTATTGTCACACCTCAGGGAAATGAGGAGGACAATGTTAAGCTCTGGGCCAGTCATATTGAACAGTCACTAAGCATTTGTGAGACTGAGTTTGAAAGAGCAGCAAGATGTCGGGACAAGCTTCTGTCTGCAAAGACGTACTGGGAAGACTCTCATCAGCAGCTCATCTGCAGCTGTATACAGACAGGTGAGTTGCTATAATACTGAATCAGGGCTCTAGCCAGCTTGATTTTTGTTCTGCCAGCCAATCTTCACCTGTCCATTGG